CGGGAGACACGGAGGGATGGGGGACACGGCCGGGACGGGGGACACGGAGGGATGGGAGACACGGCCGGGACGGGGGACACGAGGAGGCTCGTCTCCGCGGGCAATAACGGGGAAAGGGGCTGGAGCGGAGGCCATGAGTCAGGCGAGTCGCCCCGTCGCCCAAGTCTTCCGCGCCCGGTGCTCCCGGTGGCACCGACAGTGGCAGTAGCAGCTGCAGGCCCGGGGGGGATCAGCCCCAAGGCACTGCTGGTTTTCCCAGACATACCGGGAAAACTATAAGGGCTGATACACTTGCTGCTCTTTACCTTTTGGGGTGTTTTGTATAATAATAATAATCAGAATAGCCTGTATATTTTACTCAATTTCTAGAATTTAGGGTTTAGAGTTGATCCTTTGTGGGGTTTTGGTTTCTGGTTTGTTTGTTTTTCAAAACAGAGATTTAAATTTGTTAACGATTGAGTTCCTCAGCATGACTTTGACTGCACCAGCATAAGAAACTTTGCATTTGAATACTACTTCGAGCTTGAGAACCTACAAGTTTGACACCTGTCTGCATTTCCTCTTTTTACACCATACACAGGAATTACTCTCACTTAGGATGCTGTAAGACTGCAGAGCTGGAGTCGTACACCTGGAGCAGGTGTCATGAAGAGCCTCATCTCTTTCTTGCAGTTCCATGACGAGAGGAAAATGGGCTGTGTTTCTGTTTCAGCAGCCAGGCTGGAGCAGCAACCCCAACTCCCCAAACTACTTCTGCAATGACCCAGGAGATTGGGCACAGACCTGATTCCTTTTGTTAACAGGCCTTAAGAAGACAAGTTTCCACCTGGAGAAGCAGGTGAACAAAGAACAGGGGAAGGAGGGGGCCTGCTTCGATGAAGTGCTTTGTCCAGCAAAAGCCAGTGACAGGCAGTGACCCGAGGCAGAAGGAAAGGAAATGGGAAGTGAAACGGCTCCTACAGACAAGAGATAAGGAAACCTCTTCCTAATTACTGCTTCCAGGTTGCAAACAGGCCAAACTTTGGAAAGAGAAGGCATGAAGTCAAACACCTGAAACATTATCATATCTTCTCTCTGCTCCAGTGTGACTTAACACCAGGGTTAGAGTGCAGCACACTCAGGCAGTGCAGCTGTTTTACCAGTAGCGTTCATCACAGGTTGAGGAGAAACTCTCTTTTCATAGCAGACAACTTCTGAGGTTATTTGCAGTCAAGATAAGTTTCAAACATATCTTTCAAACAGTTTCAAACTTTCTGCTGTAGAGGAGGGGAAAACAGATGCTTTGCCATAAAGTCATATGAGCCACCAACTGGAGACCTTATTCCTGATGGCCTCAATCATTCCTGAAAAAAGTTTCTTAGTGTATCATAATCTTATGCCAGTACTAAAATAATTTAACTCAGATGATTTATTTATTAATTTGCCAGAAGTCTACACTACCAAGGTACTTTGAATGGACAAAATCCATGTTCACACACTCAAGCAAGGAGAGAGAAGCCACATAGTCAGTACTCAAATCACCTGCCCTTGCTTGTCTTGCCCTCAGGAGCAAGTACAAGTGTACTTACTGTACTTGTACTTGCTGTACACACAACACATCTTGCAGTACCTGTGTGTCAGTACCTCCACTTCTGTTCCACTTTTAAACACAGCACTGTCCCCTCCCCTGATGCTTGTTGGCAATACAGCTGCTTTGTACAGAAGGAACAAGTTTTAACTGAACTTTGCTGGTGAGGACTGTGATTTTACCAGAAAGAATAACCTCAGTGTGAGCCCCACCAGTCCAAGCTTCCCACTGTGGCAGCACAAAGGCTTGTCTAAATGTGCCACTTTGTCACAGCAAGTGCCTACTTCTGTTGGTTTCACCTTGGCAGTGAAACCCATCACAATGAAAAAAGGAGAAACTCTACTTTTAATGCAGTTCTAGAAAGGTTAAATTTTTGCACTTTCAGACATTTTGAAAGATTTTTGTTGCAAATTTACTGGTTTAAGTGATGTCACATAAAAAGAGAGTCAGAACCAAGTGTACACTGGCCTTTATACTGAGGTTGCACATGTTGAACAGCCCTAACTCTCTGGCACCATGACTTTCACCATCCCTTCCATTACAGTTTTTCCACTTTCTCTGACCTGACATGACACAGAAATGTGTGCAACAGAACCCTTCAGTCGTTTCACTTCCGCTGCAGCTGTGGCTTCTTCACCAACATACAAAGGAGCTGGAAAACGAATCTCCTGGGAAAGAAATATACATCCTTGACCAGGCATTTTTGTACCCAGAACTGCAGAAATAAGTCCATTGATCAGCACTCCATGGACAACAGTTCTCCCAAACCTAGACTTCTTCGCAAACTCTTCATTTAAATGCAAAGGATTTGTGTCACCTGTTAAACAAGAAAAAGTAACTACATCATTCTGTGTAAAAGCCTTGCTAAGCTCAGCTTTGTCTCCAACTTTTATGTGTAAATTCTGAAATACGGGATGTCCAAGCAGTGAGTTGATAAACGTTGGCTTTGTCAAGGCTCTTTGTTGGAAAATCCCTCCAGAAATTCCACGCCTGAAGGGCTGCAACATTTCCAGGAACTTCTCCGGCATGCAGCCGAACCAACAACTGCATTCAGTCCAAGACTAATTCTCTACTGTTGCCAGATAACGCAAGTAGAAATGGAGATGTCTAGTTTGGGGAAAGAAAAAACAGACAAGAACTGAACAACTAAAGCCTTAAAAAACCCCATAATCGAATGCTCTTAAAGTTGAAAATACTTCCATTTTCCTTTTACATGCTAGATTAAAAATTTAGAGATATGCCTGAGCAGACTTTTGTCTAGCCATGGCTTCAGAAACAAAAAATTCTCAGAACTCACTTTATTAAACAGCATCCTATGGAAAAAAATAAGGTCTGGAAGTGCATGTCCATATATTCATTGTTAAACAAAGTCAGTTGACAGTAATCATTAGAAAGGCAAAAAGTACGGTAGGGTAAATAAAACCTGGACCAAGATGTGGGTCATGAACAACATTTGCCAGAAATTATTCTCTTGCAAATGTATTAATGGCATCAAGACTTGTTACTGGACTGAAACCATAAAGTAATGAGACAGCCACTATTGTCACATTGTACAAGACTCATTTTAAGATGATAACTGCTCAAACACGGGCCCACACACCTGCACTGAAAGGCACTTAATTCCCAAACCAAGGCATTTTTACATCTAGGCCATCTTTCTATGAAAAGGCTTAGGCAGCATGCCAAGCTTAGAGCCAGAGCTGACAGCTGGGGGAAGGCACCCAGCCCCACAGGGCTTTACCTGCAGCACCCGGAAGGCACACCTCCTGTTCTGGTAGAAGCCCAGTAAGGTTAGAGCACTCCACAGCTTGACAAGGCCACTAAATAAAAAGAAAACAAAATATATTAATAAAATTTGGGGGTTTCTGTTTTCTTGCAGCATAGACATCTCAAACAGAAAGCATGTTATGCAAAGAGTAATGAACCCTTAAGAGTTTAACATCAGGTAATTTCACTAAAGAGTTCTAGTAACAAAACTATATCTTGAAGGATTATTGCAGTGGCTGCAGTCTCTTGTCTTTGACACAGAGAGATGTACTGCAACTTCAAGTTCACTTTACCAGCACTGTTCTTGTTCTCTGTGTGCATTTAAGCTCGTTCTTCACCTAAATCAGCTGCAGTTGTCACCATTTAGAGTAACCATTCTCATCTTTATTACAGAAAGACATTTAAAGTCAATACTTCAGTTATGCTTACTTCCTGTTTTAAAATTGTTAAAATCACTCTGGTTTAAAGCGGGAATAATGTACTGATGCACAAAGTTACCAAGACTCAGTAATTATTTTCTGCATGCTGTATGCAAATATCTGCAAGTTAGGCTTAATTCTTCAAAGGCCATTTTTAGTTTAAGAGTTCTGTTTTCTTACGAAAAGTTCTTTCATGGCATGGAAGCGTGTCCTGACTGCATCTTACCTGCTGATTACTCTTAATATGGCAGACAGAGTTTTTTCTTCATATGTTAAGAGATCAACAGGCAAAGCTGCTCCAACCTATGAAAAAAAAATGTTATTTAGTATCACCTTATATTCTTATCATGGTTTAGAAGCAACTGATTTCACCCCCATCATTAAAGGTGTTATAGTTACACTCAAATCTCAGAGAAGTGTTTCAATTACAACGCTGGACTTTAAACAGCACCCTTCTTCTCATAGTTCTTTAGAAGCCACTTTTTTTTTCCACATTACAGCTAGAGAAACATAGACCAAGAGGTGATGTGACCTGCTTAAAGTCAGCCAGCAACAGAGTAAACAGAGTGAAAACAGTACTGTGGACTTTCCCAGCCACAAAGTTCCCTTCCCATAGTTCTCTTTTTAAAACCTCTCTACAGCAAAAGCATCGATACCACATATTCTAAAAACAAGTATCAAAGAATGGTTTGAGCTGGATGAACTTACAGAGTTCACCCAGTTCCAGCCCCGCTGCCATGCTCAGCGATACCTTCCACTAGACCAGGCTGCTCCAAACCCGGCCCAACCTGAGCACTGCTAGGGATGGCTGAAGCCACTTGGCCACGGGCACTGAACTGAACCGCATAGCTTCGCTAGGAGCAAGTCAGAACGGGGGCTGGCGAGCGGGCAACCGGCTACCGGAGGGTCAAACCCAGAACATTTACCCTGCCTGGCCTGCTCCTTCGGCCCCGCTCGGCCACCGCTCTGCAGCCAGAGCGGCTGTTCCAGGGGACAACAACCCGCTCCCGCAAGGTTCTCCCGGCCCAACCCGGAGCCGCCAGCCGAGGCCAGACCCCAATCCCGGTCCCGATGCTGGTCCCACCTCTCCGTGCAGCTCCCTCAGCGCTGTCACCACGAGCTGCTTGAACTGCGCGGCGTTGGGCCGGGCCCCGCCGTCGGCCAGCTCCCTGCGGGAAGGAGAGCGCAGGGGGTCAGGAGAGCTCAGTTGGAGGCTCAGGTTAGGGTTAGGGGGTTCGGGATAGGGGGTTCGGGGGTCCCGGGGGTGTCGCTCACAGGCGCACGCGCAGATAATGATGCTCAGCCGCGCGCCGCAGCACGCGCC